GTTAAGAGACTGAACTGTCATTTGAAAATGTGGTGTTTGGATTTTGCTCACTAAATGTCCATAGAAAAATCCTGCTTGTATGCTGAAGTTTACAATCTTAGTTGAGATGAAGCGAAAGGCTTCGTGGACTATTTTGCATGTGACATCAAATTACTGTTTGTTGTGAATGAGGAAGTACCTGAGCAAATGAAAGATGTCACTAACACAAGGCTCATTCTCATAACACCAAAGCGTAGTTCAGCATTATGTGTAACCTAACCACTATGAAACTCAAACTGGAATTTGTCACTGCTTCGGAACAGCAGTTCCCCTTACCAATGAGTGTGTCTTTGAATGTATACTTATCTACTAGGTAATTCTTGAAAACTCTGACATTCTTGAGGGAAACATTCACTCCTTAGCATCAGAATCTCAGCCAACAAGACTCTACGGGATTACCTGGCCAGACTAATATTAGAGTTCCCCTTGCTTTTGTTTTTGTTTTTTTAAGTTGGCTATCCCGTTATGTGACTAATGTTGAAACAGCTTTTACCTGTTTGCCTATTTTACCCTTTTGCGTTTCAAAGTATTAAGATAGATCTGCCTCTGTATGCACCATACTTTGTCAAATGATGGAGACATTCAGAGAGCAAATGTTATTTTTCTACCTAGCCAAGTGCCTGCCTCCTCCCTCTCTCTCTCTCTCTCTCTCTCTCTCTCTCTCTCTCTCTCTCTCTCTCTCTCTCTGTGTGTGTGTGTGTGTGTGTGTGTGTGTGTGTGACTGAGAGTGTGTGTGAGGCTGTGGGGGGACTGTATTTTGCACACAGTTGCATTGCACTCTGCAGGGTGTCCCTGTCACTGGAAGAATGGATGGCAGGCAAGTACTCTTGGTGCAGTGCTTTGTTTTTCCCTAAATAAGGGAATGTCAGCCATTCGTGACACCTCAGAAAGGGAGGTTCTGTGGGAATAGGGACTGAACTCAGTCTTTGCCATTGGTGATTTTAGAGACTGGGATGAGGGCCGTGTTTTCAACCGTCTCTAGACTGCAGCCTCTTGATTTCTCAGAAAGATCTCTGAGAGAGCTGTTGGAAATGGGGTTAGCCTGATCCTTTCATAACTGCACCTTGTGTTCAGTTTCTTAGTCCTGCTAAAGAGGGATGTAGTTTTGAACATTGGTTTTATATGGACAGAAGATGAAGGTGGTATTTCTCAACCTATTTTTGTTACCCTGTACACTTTTGAAACAAGAATTAAGGGAACAATATTGGCAAGGTTAGTTTGAAGGTGATCTCTGACTATATCAGTAATATCTTGCACATAGGCTTGAGGTAATCGACATGGCAGCTATCTAACAGTAGTTTCATTTTTCCTCATAGCATAATGAGAAGATTTAACTTAAAATGGCATTGCTCTGATACAGTGACTGGCATCTGTTAAAATTTTTGTAATAGAGTGGATTTTTTAAGCCAAGCTTTTGGAAGGAACGTATACAGTGCAAACTTAATCAGTGCTTGGCCAATTTCCAGAGCTGATCTAACATTTGGATTGCCTAAGGGGAGGATTGCCTCACGAGTGGCAGATCTGGGGAGGCGTATTGGCGATGCAGTGATTCAGCCTGATCACCCACTCATGGTTAAGGGATCTGGAGCATTGAGGTCTTGCTGGCCACTGAGATATGATGAGATTTTGAAAGAGCAGAACTCACCAAATATGTCAATCTTGTTTGGGCCAGCTGTTACAAAAGCCAGCGGAAATCCTGAGGAAAAAGCAAGCTTACTCAAGTTTTCCCCTATGACTATACTTTTGCTGATAACAAACTTTCATTTCCTCATATGTTAACATGCCCACATGTTCTGTTGAAGGAGCGTTTACCCTGCCTCCCTTTTCTAAAAAGGACGGGGGGGGGGGGAACCAAGCCATGCCAAAAGATCGCTGTCATTTTACAAACCTTTTCATTTGTTCTCTTAAAGAACACACATGCACACCTTGAGGTTCTGTGTTCTGCCTTCTCCAATGATGCACTCATACTTAGCCAGATTAAAAGTGTGGGAGATGGATATAGCAGCTTATCTCCCCTTCCCTCTAGAAGTATCAAGCAAAGGCGGAAATATAGTTGAAACATGCTGTAATAGATCACAGACGACCTCAGTGGCTTGATCTTGTAGAACGTCTACATGGCAAGTTACAGCATAAACAGGAAATGAATCAAGGTGGGAAGACCCTTGTCCAGGTAGTGTGGAGTTGGGGATGCAGGGGGTGTGAAGCTTGAGGGTGGGAGGAGTAGCTGCAGGCATTGAATGAATTTGGATGGCACGCCATGACTCATCACAGATTATTTAACCTACAACATGTGGCAAGCATGGGTTGTGCAAAGGTTAAACCACCCTCATGGAGCCTGTGCTTTCTAGGGTAATGTGACACAACAACCCACCAGTGGGGGTGGGGGTTGCATGTGCAAAACGGCAGCTGGCGAGTGTTGCAGCCTCACCAAGCCAATAAAATCCTACGATCTAATTGTGGCCTGCCATAGTGCAGGTATGTCCATCGAAGAGTGCCCTTTCCTATTGCTCAGCTGTGAAGCACACAACTGACCTTTCTTTCTTTCCCCTCTCCCTCCCTTCCATGCTTTAGAACTGCTTCTACGTTCCTGATACATTAAAGCAAGCAAAACTAAAAAAATAAAATAAAAAATGCCACTGCTGATTTTTAAAAGTAATATTCTGAGTAGAGTTTTCCATTTTAATCTCACGTATGCCATAACATAATCAGGAATAGAATGGATGTCATTTCTGCAGCTCCAGTGCTAAATATTTGGAAATAGGCACTGTTTAGTTGCAGTAGGGTAAAAATAATAAAATGTGCATTAGTAATTGTGTGTGTGCTTTTCCTGCTGTCCCCCTGACTCTAAGATGTTTCCAGAAGGGGAAGGAAGAGAAGGAGTGCTTTGAGGAGCAATATTGGCTCCTTGTGCTCTAGTGCATCCCCTCCTGCTCTCTGGGGGTTCTCCTTCGCCACGGCGTGTCCTGGCTGCGAGGTCCTGACTCTGGCACACGGATTAAACTCAGTCGCTTAGTGCTTTCCTGGAGGGCTGATACCAAAAGTTCCTTATTAAAATACTTTGTTTGTAAGGCACGGAAGTTTGCATGTAGGACAGTGTTCATCAGCACAGCTGCACTCAAGATGTTTTGTAGAGAGCAAAAAGAAAACATGAGTAGATGCCCAGTGTTTCTATTTCTAATCTTAGCACTGGGAGCTTTTTTTGTAGTTCTTAAAGCCACACATTTTGTGAGTCCGCAATGACCCTGATGGCACCATTTTGATACTTACTTCTTTTTCTTCCCTTGTAGCAAAGCTTAGAATGTTTCTTCTTGGACCACATTTTTAACCATTTGTTATTAAATGTAACAATGTGTTGCTGCATTTAGGTTTTGGAAACAATCCTATGCAATGTTGAAGCAATTTTGAGGCATATTAAAAGCTTGATACTTCTTAGTAGCTTGTTGTTGGTTACAGAGCATCCAGTGATCAATTACTAATGTAATTATGCTTTTATACTTCAAGTTTCACATGTGTCATCAAAAACCCACGCTGATTGTTTTATGCTGTTGGGTCTCGAACTGGTGGAATACTTCACGTAACAATTAGCAGAGAAGGAGCAACCTCATAGGATGCAAACCTGTTGGATATTTCAGTAGAATAGCTTCTTGTGAATAATCTCATTTCTAAATTAGTTGGAGGATTCTTTAGCTTCTCCAAAGTGGGTGGGAGGATCGGCTTATATTGCATTTTAAACTGAAGTATAAAATGTGGCTTGCCTATCCAACTTGCCATTAAAATATCTTGGAAAGTAGCGCCGTCATCTTTAATGGTGTGCAAACAGGCCAGGATTTGGTGTGCCCAGTATGGACTGTGGTTATAGGTTCCCTCCCTCCTACTTTCTTTGTTCTACCAGCAGGGATGTCGGGGCAGCTGCATGACTCCCCCTCTTCTGCTGTTCTGCCATAACTGCTTTTGCAGAGGAAAAGCAAGCTGTCAGCCTCCGTGGCTCCTCTGTACTGGAGCACAGGAGCTCCTTTCCCCCCTCCACTTCTTTTTCCTTGCACTGGAACAGATTTAAAAATGGAGGAGTCATTCTTTCCTCCTTGCTCTTAACCTGTACTAACCAGATTTCAAGGGATTTTGAAGGTCCTGCAGTTGAGTAATCTGGATTCTAACAGTCCTCCATTCTGAAAGGTTTGCCCTTAACCAGGATTTGAAAACAAGAATGGAAGCCATTTTCAAAACTCTGATTAACCACAAGCACAGTTTAAATCTTGACTCATCCATCTAGGTGGAAGGGGAAGCATCCTGTCATCCTATAAACACATTTCCAATATAGCCTATTTCAGATTTGGATTAAACTGTTGGCATTGTTGCTCTTTTGCATTTTTAAAATTTGTTTTGGGTGTGTCTTTCTGTATCCTCCATGCTAGAATTCTTTGGTCAAGCATGTGCTTTCAGTTATTATTTCTAATGGTAGCCTATGTTTTAAGAAGGTGTTTTCCCTTTTAGTATATAGAACAATTCATGTTCGCTTGCAGGGTGAGTGGAAGGTTTTTAAGCCATAAATGAGATTTTTTAAAAGCAGCTTTTAATATTGCTTAAAAAATATTGCCTTTAAAGATGTCCTGTATTTTGCTAGCAGATAAAATAACAAAGGATTTGTTTGTTCATGCATAGAAAACTGTTCGGTATGCAGCTTATTCTATGTCATAGCTATTTACGTTTTCCTCCTAGGTGGGGGGGGTGTATGTAAAATATTGCCAACCGGGGACTACTCTTCAAGCATCTTATGTAAAGCGAGCTCTATTATACTAAAACTTATGCCACATTAAACCACAATAAAACAGTCTTCAAGTTTCCTCAGGACCCCTGGTGTGAACAGGGAGGAAGAACCTTGTTAAATCCACTTCTTAGACTTACCTTGGTTTTCTAAATTTTACCAAATAACTTGCACTAATTTTATCTTCTTCTCATTTTAGGCCCTATGAGAAAAAGGGAAAGCTAAGGATGCTGGAGCAGAACAATGGATTTCTCCTTCTCTTTCATGCAAGGGATCATGGGAAACACAATTCAGCAACCACCTCAACTCATTGACTCGGCTAACAACCGCCAAGAGGATGCTTTTGATGCCAATAGTGACATCACCGAAGATGGTAGACAGACACCATATGAAGCTGCCCTTGCCTTGCAGCAAGGTTTTCAGTATCCTACACCAACAACAGAGGACCTTCCACCCCTTATTAATGGATTTCCACCAATCGGCATGTATGAACCCCAAGCCAAATACCAATCATATAGTCAGTATCCCAATGGTTCAGCTAATGGCTTTGGCACAGTCAGAAACTTTAGTCCACCAGAGTATTATCAAATGGAGAACTCTAACATAAGGCCACATGAAATTCTGGAAAAGCAGTCTCCACCACAGCCTCCACCTCCTTCAGTATCCCAAACGGTGATTCCAAAGAAGACTGGTTCACCAGAAATAAAATTAAAAATAACCAAAACTATCCAGAACGGCAGGGAATTGTTTGAGTCCTCTCTATGTGGGGACCTTTTAAATGAAGTACAAGCAAGCGAGTATGCGAAGTCAAAACATGAAGGGAGAAAAGAGAAAAGGAAAAAAAGCAGCAAACATGATTCTTCCCACTCAGAAGAGCGCAAATCACATAAAATTCCAAAACTAGAACCAGAGGAACAAAATGTAAGTGAAGAAACTTCAGCCTTTTTTCTATTGATATACTTTCAAGACAGATGTTCCTGTAACTCTGCTTTTTCTTTTCATTCTATTTACATGCTAAAATATTATTAAAGTAATCAGCTCATGCAATTAAGATGTATTAGCAGCTTCCTGTTCTGAGCAGTCCGCCATTATGAATCTTTTTTTTCAGAAATGAGATTTTATTTCCATAGATTGTTCTCGAGGCAAAAGAAATCTAAATTCAGCTTTTACAACAGAGTATGCAGATTACAGGAGTGATTTGTCATCCTGAGATCATGCCAGAATTAAAATGTACTATGGATGGGGGCAATGAGCTCTCAGTGAGCTTATGAATGAAAGACAACTGTTAAGACAACAGTGCACTTTCTATTTAAGGGGCTATTTGGTATCTTTTATAGGCTTAGTGAGAATCATGCTAAACTTCGGGTCTACTAGCTACTATTCCTGAGTTTATTTTTCTAAGTTAATTAAGACAGCAGTCCATATACACTTTCCTGGGATATTGAACAAGGAGGACTTAGTTAAGAATAGGCATGCGCAGTGTTGCATTATAAATTAGTTACATATAAAAATGCACATTTTCTATGAAAGAAACCCCTTCTAATATGTAAATATGTCTTCTGTGTGGTTCACAGAGTACATTGTAGTTAATTTATGCTGGTCACATGTGATACAGATTTGTGACTTTTATTCAACTATTAGTGGATGTAATCTGTAGTTAAGGATATTGAAATCATATTCTGTAATGCAGCGAAAGAATTTGCAAAAACTAAATTCTTTTTTCTTCATGCAGTACAACACTGTGCATATTTACTCAAAATGAGCCTGCTGTGTTCACAGAAGCTTATTTCTATGTCAGCGGGTATGTGACTGAAGCCTCAGCTGCTAAATTACTTGCTTTTAATGGAGTGGGCCTCATATTCTTTTTTAAAGGATAGAAACTTTTCATTTTTAGTTATTGCAGTTACTTATGTCTTGTCTTTCAGGACACAGATCCTTCCAAGCTGGCTTAGAAGCAACATTAACATTTATTAATCAAATCACAATAAAATATTTTTTAAAAGTAAATAAACAGGGTAGATCATGCTAGAAGGCCCCGGATAGGAACGGAACAGGTTTTGACATGATATTTGCCTGTCTTCCTGCCTTCTTTTCACGTCTAGGAGCCTCCCCGTAGGGTACATGGTGGTTGATGGTCTTGTGCGGAGGTGGGGTGGGGAACGTCCAGCTGTCGTAGGCTCTGAGGTGGTGGCTGGCTGGCTGCCCTCCTTTCTTTTCTGCAATCCTATCCACAGAACAGCTGCTGGTTATGGATGTAATGCACAGCCTGTGGGTGGCCAGTGCGAAGCACCAAAGCCCCAAGCGTGGGGCGTACTCTGACCACTGGCGATCCTTTTCAAAAGCATAGTCACCCCTCTGTAGTGCTGCGCTGCTCTCCGAGACTGGGGTGGGGTAAGTCTGGACGGCATACGCATGCACTGTAATCTGCCCTGGAATGGTACCGCTGCTGTGCAGTTCTGCGAGCTGGACTTGAGGCAGCCTTGCCGACAGTATTCATCACTCGCGTGTGTCTAATGTGCAGCAGCAGGTTTCCCTCACAACCAGTGCAGTGCGATTGCATCATGCACATGGTTAAGGCAACTGTCGAGCTGCTTTCTGATTATGGCTATTGTGAGGGCAATCCAGAGTGAAGTGACGAGTTCTTACATGCTTCACTAGGACTTTATTGGAGTAGTCTCCCAGGTTCAGTGTTGTACGCCCACGTATTCCTGTTTGGTATGCAGCAGAAGTTGTGTTTGATCTTTTCAGGCCACCATCATAGTTTGCCACCAACATATCGATTCTTTTAGTGCTAATGCCATGGAAGTATAGCAACGCATACTGGGGATGCGGGCTGGCTTCCAAGAAAGCTGTGTAATCTCTGAATCACTGACTTGGTTTGCACAACTGCAACATACTGAATAAGCCGGGGTGGTTTGTTAGCCACTCTGTGTATGTCCAGTGGATTTAAAAGATTCAGTAAGCCAGCTTGTGCCATGCCAACCTGGCTTGGATATTATCCACAGCAGCAACCCCCCTGACTGGGCTTGCATAACATAAGCTGTGCTGTTACTGGTTTTAAATGTGTTTTTATCTTGTAAATGTGAGCCACCCAGAGGTAATGGGGCAGCATACAAATGTTTTAAATGATGATGATAGTAGTAGTAAGAGTAATAATTATGCTAATCCTCCCAGCAAGAATATAGCATGAGAGCCAGTGTGGGGTAGTGGTTAAGAGCACATGACTGGGATTCAGGCAACCCAGGTTCTAGACCCTGCTTGGTCAGGGAACCAACTGGGTGACCTTGGGCCAGTCACAGACTCTCAGCCCAGCCTACCTCACTTGTTTGGGGAGACAATGGAGAGTAGGAGAAGGAAAATGATGTAAGCTGCTTTGAGTTTATTATAAGATAAAAGCAGGATATAGTCTAATCTAATACAAATAAATAAAGTGACATGTTGTTGTTAGTCGCGAAGTCGTGTCCGACCCATCACAGCCCCATGGACAACATTCCTCCAGGCCTTCCTGTCCTCCGCCATCCCCCAGAGTCCACTTAAGCTCACACCAACTGCTTCAGTGACTCCATCTAGCCACCTCATTCTCTGCCGTCCCCTTCTTCTTTTGCCATCTATTGTTCCCAGCATTAGGCTCTTCTCCAGGGAGTCCTTCCTTCTCATTAGGTGGCCAAAGTATTTGAGGTTCATCTTCAGTATGTGGCCTTCTAAAGAGCAGTCAGGGTTGATCTCCTCTAGGACTGACTGGTTTGATCACCCTGCAGTCCAAGGGACTCACAAGAGTCTCCTCCAGCACCACAATTCAAAGGCCTCAATTCAAAGGCACTCAGCCTTCCTTATGGTCCAGCTTTCACAGCCATACATTGCAACTGGGAAAACCA